TTTTTTTTTTTACTACAGTATAATGACTGCCAGAGTAGGTTCACTAAGTGATTGAAAAATGAGTAAAGCAGTACGTGGCTAGGGAATCAGTGGATGATGAAGATGTGGTAAACTGGAAGGAGGCCTTGAAAGTCTGGCAGAGCAGCCAAAAATATATAAAAGGACATAGGGAGCTACTGAAGGCTCTTGAGCAATAGATAGAAATGGGATGGACGTTGTTTTCAGAGTCTTGAGGGCAGGAAGGTAGGTTTTAGGGGAAGACCTAGAAAAGGACAGCCTGATTTTTTCCCTAGGACACCCTGAAGGCCCTCAACTCACTCCTGTTTCCTCCTTACAGTCGTGCCAACTACCGGACCCCCTGGCATTAATCTGTGAAAAAGAGGCCGACCACTAGGCTGCTGGACCATGCCACCATTCAGGTTCCCCAAAAGGACAGAGCATGTATGGTGGCACCACCCATCTCCCTAAGAGTCCAGCCTAACCAGAAATAAACCCAATGCTCCCATAGGGAGGCAGCAGGCCCGTGTGTGTGTGTGTATATGTGTGTGTGTGTGTGTGTGTGTTTTGTGTTGACCTCAGGATGACAATGTCTTACCCTTACTTGCCCCCTACCAACTCCTGGGGGACTGGTGGGCGGATGGAAAAAGATGTTTGATGACCCCAGGTACACAGTCAGGACCTAAGCCCCAAGGCCCAGCTGGTGGGGAGGTGCAGAGGCAGGCCTGAGGACTGGGGTTCCTTTGTGCCCCTGTCTCCTGTTAGCAGCCCCACAATGAGCCCCCTCCACTTCAGATTATGAACTTGAACCCTAAAAAGAAAAGAGGGGGTTCGAAAGGGGTTTTTGACACTTCTCTCAGAAGCCATCACCACTGCAGTGTACGCCAGGGGACTTCCGGAGGCTGGCCAGGCCTATGGCCTCTATTCTCTTTGAAGCAACAGAGTGTAGAAGTAAGATAAGGTGTCTGAGACCACTCAGAGAAGAGGCCTGCTCCCTAAGTCACTGCCAATAAACGTATCATGTAAGCAAAACGTTGTCTGCTTTATCCACATAGCCTCAGAATTAGCCCACATCTGCCCACCAACCTACAGAAAGGAAGACATGATGTCCTGGCATGTCTGGGCCAGTTCCAGAATAGCTGCCCTCCGAGGGGCTAAGGAAGAGTGTTTTGGGAATGGTCGGGGGTTAGAGCAGCCAGCATCAGCGCTTAGCTCCCAGAGCTTCTGGACACCCACCCCCACCACAGCTGTGGATAGTCTCCAAGGACAGGCCAAGACCAGGGTAAATAGCCACCAAGCTCAAGAGCTGTTGGATCAGGACTCCTACTAGAACCTGGGGCTTCATAGGAACCCATGAACTTTCTGAGATCATGTGCAAAATCGTGTGTCCACTCACATGTGCTTTTCCATGGAAAGGCATATTTCATCTGATTCTCCGGAAAGTCAGTGCCCACCAAGGCTAGGAACCCTGTCATACGCCCTCTCTATCCCCTTCCCCTAATGTTTACTGAGCACCTGATGCATGGGTCTAGTCTCAGGTGGAAGGCACTTAAAGAATATCAGCCCTTCACTCTGGATCCCGTTACACTATTCAGAACATATCTTCATGTGGCTCGCTATCTCCTCCAGGCCTCATACTCCATAAACATGCTGGAAAATGAGCAGAACCAATGCTACCCTATTTCACAAATGGGAGAACTGAGGCCCAGACCAGGGAAGCAGTTAGCCTGCAGCCAAACCCAAAACCCAGGACTCAAAGCAAATCCCAGCCCCTGACACAGTGTTTGCATATAATGTGTTCTCAATATTTTAGTCTCAGTAACAAACAAGATCTTTTGTTTAGTCTTGGGTAATAAACAAGGAGTTAAGTTGTGATGTTTTCTAATATGCAGAAAGAGCCTGTCTTACAGAATTAAGGCTGTTTTTAATTTCTTTTAGGGATAGGGGTAATAATCATTACCTTTATACCAAGGGTGTCCGTCTGTCCTCAGGTAAGGGCTCTGCTGACCGCAGACCAGGAAACAGGAGCGTGGGGAGCAGACAGGAGTGGTAAGCAGATCACAGAGCCCCTTCTTCCTCATGGTCTAGCCTCCTGCCATTTCATGCAGGAAGAAGCCCTTTCCTCTAAGCCCAGCAGGTGGTCCATGGGCTTGAACCTTAGGAAGCCATTGGCAGAGCCCCCTGGGTATCTGTACTCTGAAGCCCTGAGTGTCCTCTCCAACGTGACGACTCAGAAGAGATGGGTTTGTCCAAGGCTCACAGCAGGGATGTTGGAGTTGGGCCTCTGTGAGGCTGGGGACAGCTGGAGAGTTCCAGAGAACATGCTGCAGCAGGCCAGAGGGAATCAAGTGACTGAGAGTTTATCCTGGTCCTGCTTCCTTGACACTGAATGACTGGGTGAGTCCCTCTGGGGATTTGGCCCAGCCGACTTTTGAGGCCTCGCCAGGCCCCATGCTGGGCACTGGAGGGACACTGACTACATGCCATGCCTGCCTTTGAATCACTTCCAGGCCCATAGGACAGAGGCAGGCCCAGCTGATTCAAACCTGAAAGCAGAAGCTGAGAATGTGGGCTAACCTATACCACATTCCTCAAGGCAAGATGCCATGAATGCTCACCCACATCAGCAATCCAATTAGGTTCTTGCCTACCAGTTGTACATTCAATCCTGATTTCATAGATATAAAAATGCATGCCTAAGAATAAAGGAAATTCAGAGTCAATGAGCATTAACAAGGCTGATTTAGTATGCACTTTCTATTTCTAAGTGCAAGCCAATGTATTAAGTACTTTGCCAGCCCCATGAAGTGAGTAATGTTAGACCCACTTTACAGATGATGAAAGAGATGTGGGAAGGTTAAGTGGCTGACTCAAGGCCAAACAGCTGATGAATAGCAGAGCTAATTGAAGCCAGCCTGCCTGACCCCCTGAGCCTAGGGCTACCACACTCTGCTGCCTTCCTGCTATGAGATGGAAGCCAGAGGGGGCTCCCTGGAACTGAGGACACTCAACCAGGGCTTAATGGGAGATGTCCCACCAGAAAGCTCTCCTGGAGTTGCTGGCAGTGGCAGAGTCTGCAGGATGAACATCCCACGCAGAGGCCAAGAGATGGAAAGAAGCCCTACTCCCAACCAGCCTGGGCCACTCTCTCCTAGCCCGGAAGTCCCCTCAGCCTCAGGGCCCTCTTTGTTCATCATAAATAGATCACATTAGAGATCCTCCCTTCCGCCACTGCCTTGGCAACAGCCCAGCCTCCACGGCCTCACCTCCCCAGGCCTGACCCTATCCCACTACCCTGGCCCTGGGCCTCTGTGCATTGCCAAACGCACACACCACCCCTCCACCGTCACCATCAGCAGCCTCCTTGCTGTTCCAAATGCCCCAGGCTCTTGTCTGCTTCAGCGTAACCTTTGCTCAAAGCCTTCCATCCACCTGAAATACTTTCTCATCTCTTCCTGCTCAGATCCCACCCTTTCCTCCAGGCTTGCCTCTCTCAGTGCTCCCAATTTTACCCCGCAATTATGAGGATGGGAACTGTAGCTGTTTCAGGGGACTGACTCACAGCCTGACCCACAGCGGGCTCTCAGGAATACTGACTGAGCTTGCTGGCTCTTCTTATCCTAAGTAGACCTGGGACTCAGGAATGAGGCCTGGGGCCTTCCAGAACCAACACAGATCTGAACTAAATGCAACAATCACTACAAAGTAATAGTGTTTATCACAAAGTGATACACTAAATACCCACCCTCCTCCACTGCCAGCCCTGGGCTATAGGGGAGGGTCAGGGACATGGTAAGGGTCCCAGCTGAGGGAAGGGGTGGGTAGGGCTGAGGGTCAAGCATGTAATATTTTGTACTAAATATCAGTAGCTTTGACATTTTTAACCCTACTTCTTGATACATAGAAACCTCCAAACTCTTTGATCTGAAGTTCTTGCTTCATGCCCCTCAGCACCGGCTCAGTGCCAGGCAAACAGGTGCTCAGTAATGCTGTGGATAGAGAAAGGCAGGAATGCAGACCCAGGGTGGGGATGGACACACGCAAGTGAAGAGGGAGGGCCCACAGTCCTCTCCCACCCCTGCCCTGCCTGTTGATCTCCTGTTCAGGGCCCTGAGCCCTGGAGACAGAATCTTTGTAATCTCTGTAGATTTGTGAAAACCAGGCATGACCTTCAAGGAACAAAGAAACCACCTGCTTGAGGGTGGGATGCAGAGCTTGTCATAGGGGAGCCTGGCCAGGCTGGGAGGCCCTGGGACAATTTCCCAAGTGAGCAGCCCACGGTCCTGTTTAAGGCCCACTCTGGTGGAGGGAAAGAGGTGAGGGGCTGGGAGGTCAGGATGGAGGATGGGACAGAGAGAAGGCCCTCCAGAATCGAGGCCAAGGCTCTTTAAAGAGCTGCTTCTGCACAGATAGGAAGACAGCGCACAGCAGCTTCAATCCCTCAAGGGGTTGAGGGCAGCCAGAGGGCTGGCCACCCCTCTGCCGGCTGGTGAAGAGTTTTCCTGCTCCCCTGGCAGACCCAGTGCCAGCACCAGTTCTGGCCATTGTTCCTTTTTCCCGGGCCAGCAAAAAGGGGGTCAGAGCAAGAGCCTCACGCCTAAGTGACTAGAGTTGGAGGCCTGTGAGGTTCAGAGTCCAGGGCCATCTAGGCCCCACTGCCCAGCTTCTCCCTGGCCCACCCAGCCAGCCCCCACAATTCCAGGCCACTTTTTCACTAACTGTGGGTTTGGGTAGCCCCTGGACTTCTCAAGGGTCAGCACAAAGGAATCCTCAGCTCTGCCCTGCCCATCTCACTGAAATGGCACAAGGCTCAGACCAGCTGGTGGATGGGAAAGGCCTTGTGAGGTGTCGGGTAGGGGCAGGGAGGGCCCTGCCATTCAGATGGGAGAACTGGGCTGACTCCTTCCCACCTTTGCCCTCCCAGTGCTCTGCCTTCCTGAGTGTCCACTCATGCTCAACACTCCGCACAGGTCATTTCGCTGTGCCCCAGCCCTAAGCCCAGACAGCATTACCGGCTCCATTTCAAAAATGAGGAAAATGAGGCTCAGGGAGGCCCAGCAACCTGCCCAAAGCCTTGCTGATGATGAGCAGCAGAGGCAGGTCTCTAATCAGGTCTGTGGGTGCGCTTAACCACAGCACCACACCACTGCCACCACGGTTCATGAGCACAGGACTCCTAGGGAGCACGGTCCTCTCCCACCGGCTCCGCCAGGGCCAAGCACAGAGCCATCCACGCAGGGTGAGTGTGGCAAAGCCATCAGGTGATGTCCCTAGGAGAGTTGCCTTTGGAGGTTCAGTCTGCTGTGGCAGTGACCCCTAGGACCCGAAGATGCCACCATCCGCTTCCCCCAGTGCAGTGCCTCCTTCCCAGCCCAGGGGAACACAAAGTTCCTGCCAGCGTCTCCCTCCTCCCAGCTCTGGCTCTCACCCCGATGTCACCCACCACCCCAAGGTGCTATCTTCTTCCCTTCCTGCCAGCAGTTGGGGAAAAGGGAATGATCACCCAGAGACTAAAGAAAAAAGGACTGGTTTATACCCCTAGTCACAGTGTCTGAAGGTCCCCTCCAAAAAGGCTATGCTCTAAGGGAGAGACTCCCAGCAGATATAGGACACAGAGTGTGAGGTTCCCAGGCAGGGAGGAGGGAGAGGGACCTGTGTGTGTGGCCAGGGGCACTGGGCAGCTGCTTAAGCCTGTGTGTGCTGTGTCTGCCATTTACAACCAAGAGACCAGACTAAGATAGGAGAGAAGCAGGATGGAAGCCAGGGGAGCCAGTGGGGTGAAAGGAGACAGGGGTTGATCCTGTCACCTTCCCAGATTCAGGGTGTCAGGTCTCAAAGGACCCACAGAGTTCAGAGGTCAAGGCCTCTGCTTCAGATGGGGAATTGAGGCCCTGAGATGGGCAGAGCCTGCTTGATGTTACTTGTTATCAAAGTGAACAAACGCTAAACATGAACATTTAGGGCATCCGGCCAGGTAGGAGCTGCAGGAGCCTCACTGCTTTGTGAGGGGAGCTGAGGGTGGGAACAAAGGAAGGAAAAGTTACTGCAGGCTCCGTGTGAGCTTAGCCATACCCAGTGAAGGCTCCTCCTGCCCCTGGCATATGCAGACTGTTGCCCATTCAGAAAGGGCAACCTGAAAGTGGAAAGCACCAAGCACATGCCAGGGCAGTCCTGGAGTTTCTGCAAGGGGAGTGGGTTTTGCCTAAGGTCACTCGGCTAGAAAGGAAGCTGGGATGCGAGCCTGGCACAGATACAGGGGCCCTGGATGTCCTCTTGCTGAGAGGTAGGATGTCTGCAGGAAGGAACCACGTGGTTGCTCAAGGGCGGGGTCCTCCCTTGACCACAAACAGTGGGAATGAGGAATGTGGGGGCCCAGTCCCCTGGGGCACCCCAGCCTTTCCACCAACACTTTGGCACACAGTTTGCAGCCCCCTGCAGTGCGGGCAGCTATTGTGCTTTTGACTTCCTGCTTCATCTCCCCCAACCTCCATGGCAGGGTGTCCCTGCTGACCACCCTCCACCAGCTCTGAGATGTCCAGGCCTAGGGAGGCTGTTTCTCCCTCTCTCTCCTTTCCTCCACCCTTGCCTCTGAGAAATGTGAAGAGCCTGAGTGGAATTTGGCCAACGTGGGGACAGGGGTAGAGGTACAGAAGAAAGGTGTACAGGAAGGCTGAAAGGGAGGCGGCTGGCCTGGGCAACAGATGGGTCGCTGTGTGGCAGGCTGAGTGGAAGTGGGGCCACAGTAGGCAATCCCCGGGGGCAGGGCTGCCCTGGCTAGGCTGCTGCTGCTCCAGGCAGGCCCTGGTTTTCCATTGGAGCTGAACAGGCTCATGCTTATCAGGCCCAGTCACTGGCTTGTGACTGTCCCTGAGCTGCTGGTCCCTCAGGCCCAACTCCCTTTACAGGGGCTGCACTTAAACTCCAAGTAGGGCCAGAGGCTGTGGCCCATTCCTTAGAACCCTAGGTGTCCTGCAATTGGTACTATCAGCATCCTCACAGCTTCCCAACCAGGGCCTCCATACAAGACTCCATTTAATTCCCACAACAACCAACCAAGGCAAGAATTGACCTCCCCATTTTACAGATGAGGTAACTGAGTCCCAGAAAGATTAAGTGACTTGCCCAAAGCCACAGGACTAGAACTTCCAAATATCAGGATTCGAACCCAGCCTTAAATCCCAACCCCAAGCCTGCCCCTTGGCCTGCACACCGCTCTCTCCTCTTCATGTCCCATCATTCCCCTGTGGAAGAAGGACCAGAACATACAGTGCTTTGGTCTGTGATGGTCAATGTCTTTACTTCTAAAACATATGTTGGACTCACTATATATTAACATCAAAAGGGTCTATCTAAAATGGAGGCATTCTTTAAAAAATCCAAATCCTCACATTTTTATATAAGATCCAAAATGACATGAAATTAAACTATATAATGTTATGAATAGTATAACAACTGCTTTTAGAAAGCAAAATGAAAGGAAAAATTAGCAGTTGGGTCTGTTGTTAGCCTAGGCTGCATGTCTTTTGAGGCATTGTGACTGAGAGCCAGCACCGAGGGGGAGGACCAGCCCTCTCTGCAGGCACAGGAGGGGAACCCCGTCAGATAGAGGAGGCAGATGTGGGCCTCTCAGACTTAGAATGAGAGTGGGACAAGGTGGGTTTCCCGCTCCTCTGGGCCTTTGGTGTGTGCACTGATTAAAGGCTTCTTTCAAGACCCACAACCAGGGAAGGGCTGTAAAAGGGCAAGGACACAGCTGGGTTCAAAATAATCACTTTGATAATACAGGTCCTTTGGGCTTCCAGAGGAGGGCCCTGACGGTCCAGCAATATCAATTGACACCATCCACTTAGTGGGTTCCTTAATGACCCTCTTCCCCTACCCACTCTCTATGCTCTGGCCACCTTTGGCTCCATGAGCCCCATGGGCTGCCAGAGATCTAAGGGACCCTAGGAGGACCCAAGGGAGAATGTTCTGGCCTCAGAAGCAGCTAGATGTTGTCCAGGCCATCTTGGCAGTGCAAGAGCCCTGGAATGCAGGCCAGTAGCCAAACTGATGAGGGAGGGTTCCCATGGGCTAGGAGGGCACTGTGGGGTCAGGTGCCACTCCCCCAGTCTTTTTGCTTCCCCTACCCAGGGTACCCACGCATGGTCTTGGCCCTGAAGCAGGGCTCAGGCAGGCTGATTATGAGACGCCCTTGAGCTTTGGTTCATGCAATTCAAGGGGGGCGGGGGGACACTTGTTTGCATCCACTGGGAAGATAATGGGCTTGGCCCAGCTTCCTCCCAGGCACCAGGTGGTCTAACAATCCCCTTCATTCATATCTGTCTGGCTGAGAGCACATTCCCTGCCAGAGCTGGGACTCATGCTACAGAAGTGGGAGAGGGCTTCCAACACAGCAGGATTAGCCCTCAGTGAAATGTTGCTTTTCCTCTCCCCATGGACGGCACTGTCCCCGGCTAAGTGTGTCACAGGGTAACTTCTCGGCCTCCTCCCTTCTGGCTGGGCTGATTGCTCTCCAGGCAGACCCAGCCCAAAGATGTATAGCCCTCTGCCCATTTCACCTGCCAGAAAACTGGAGGACACATCGCCCCAGGCTGGAGCAGAGAGAGAGGCCTGTGGCTCTGAGTCTGCTGTACTGGTCCCTGGGACTACATCACAAAACTGGCCTTCTCCCTCAAACAGCCATGCCATGCACCCAGCCACCCTCTGGGGCCCAGCCCTTCTCCCAGGCCCTACCATGACCATCCTCTCTCCTAACCAATCTGGTTTCTAACTAGGCTGAAAGGTTTGGGAAGGTTGGGCTGGTACCACCCCCTCCTTGGGGTGGAGAGAGGCCACTTGACTTCCAGCCTGGTTCCAGGCCCCAGAGAAAGGGAGGCTGATGGCTCTCAAGAAAGCAAATCCTGTAATGGGAAAGAGGTGTGTGGAATCAGGACCAGCCACGGCAATGTGGCTAACTCCCCACCTCCAGGCCGGCACCCGAAATGCCAGGCCCCCTCGCTCTCCACCTGCCTGGTGCCCTTCTGTCATCATGCCCAGGTCTTCCAATCCCACGCTGGGTAGGGGAGCTCTGTGAGGAGGCTGGACTGGGTCTGGCAGGGCAAGCTGTACTCAGGGCAAGCAGGCGGCTACCTGGTAGGCGCCCTCCGCCGCAGCAGCCGCAGCGCTATGCTGCGCACTGTGCTCCTGCAGCAGGCCCACGTCCAGGAAGCGCTCGCCACACCACACGCACTTGAACTGCTGCTCACGGGCATGCACACCCTGGTGCTTATTGAGGTGCTCACGCTGCTTGAAGGCTTTGTCACAGTTGGGACACTTGTAGGGCTTCTCGCCCGTGTGCACGCGCCGGTGCCGCTGCAGGTCCGAGGCATACTTGAAACGCTTCTCGCAGTCTGGGCACTTGAGGGGCTTCTCACGGGCTGGGTCGCAGCGGTGCTGCACGAACTCCGAGGACGAGAAGAAGCGGCGCTCACACAGGGTGCAACGCAGGGGCTTCTCAGCTGCCGAGCAGTGTGCGAGCTGGTGCTTTTGCAGGGCCGACGCCCGCTTGTAGGCCTTGCTGCACACCGGGCACTTGAAGGGCCGCTCAGCTGCGCCCGGCAGGCACTTGTGCCGCAGCAGCTCCGCTGACTGGTCGAAGCCCTTCTGGCACACGGGGCACTTGAAGAGAGTCTCAAGGGTGTGCACGTGCTGGTGGTAGAGCAGGTGGCTGGGCTGCCCAAAGCCCTTCTCACACAGGCCACACTTGAAGGGCTCCTCGCTCTTGTGCGTGCGCCGGTGCCGCATCAGCGCGTACTGCTGCTTGAATCCCATGGGGCACAGATCGCACTTGAAGGGCCGCTCAGCGCTGTGTGTGCGCTCATGCTGCCGCAGGTCCGAGGGTCGCTTAAAGGCCTTCTGGCACTCGCCGCAGCGGAAGGGCCGCTCGCCACTCGGCGTGCACGGGTGCTGCAGCAGCTCTGACGACTCTTTGAAGTGCAACTCGCACACATTACAGCGAAACAGGTGGTGCTCCCCCGAGTGCGCGTACATGTGGCGCACCAGGTGGGAGCGGTGCTTGAAGGTCTTCTCGCAGACAGCACACTTGTAGGGCCGCTCCGAGCTGTGCGTACGCTTGTGGTGCACCAGGTGGGATGACTGGCTGAAGCTCTTGTCACACAGAGTGCACTTGTAGGGCTTCTCACCTGTGTGGATCCGTTCATGTCGTGAGAGCTCCGACAGGTGCTTGAAGGGCTTCTGGCAGATGGGGCAGCTGTAGGGCTTGTCGGCTTGTTCAGCAGGGCCAACAGCAGGTGGTGGGGGTGCTGGGGGCAGCGAGGTGGCAGCAGTGGCTGCGGGTTCAGCCGCCTCAGTGGGCTTGTAGGTCTTCTCACAGATGGAACATTTCACTAGGCCACCAGTGCCACTGTGTGCGCTGTGGTGCTGTGCCAGCGAGGTGAGCAGCGAGAAGCCCATCTTGCAGACGCCACAAACAAAGGGCTTCTGTTCGGCCTGCACGCACTGGTGCTCCAGCAGGTCAGTAGCTTGGTGGAAGATCTTGAGACACTGTGTGCACTGGAACGAGCGGTCATGGCCTGCCAGGCACTGGTGCTCATGCGGGCTGGACAAGTGCGCCAGGTCATGGCCGCACACACCACACTTGGGGCCCGGCTCACCTGCTGCCTGCAGGGACGCATGCTGTGGGGGCTGTAGTCCCGGGTCGGGCTGCAGGAGGATGCCATAGACGGCACAGCCCAGGGGGTTCTCAGCCGTGCCTGGGGGCAGCGTGTGCTCGGCCAGGGCCGGGGGCGGTTCTGCGTGGTGCTGGGGCTGTGGCGGTGGTGGCTGCTGTGGCTGCTGCGTCTGTGGCGGCTGCTGCCAGCTTTCCGACATGCTTGGGAAGATGAAACAGGGTTTAGAGAGTAATGGCTTCAGCTTCCCGCTTAAGGTGATCCAACCCAGAGAGAGAAGCTGCCCAGGATCAGGTGTGGACAAAGACCTTAGACAAGGCACAGAGAAGGGACTGGTCAGATGGTCCAAGTCATTAACCAAGACAGACTACACAGCTCTGCCTACAGGACAGAGGTGTCTTCAAGGCAGGGTGCCAGCAGTGCCAGAGAGGCTCTGCCTTCCCCGATGACTGGTTCTGTGGAGAAGAGAGAAATCGTGAGCTGGAGGCAGGAACCTGTAGTTGTTCCCTGGGCCCTCTCCCTGTTCTGCCTGCACTTGCCATACTGACACAGACCACAAAGGAGAGAGGCTCAGAGCCAGGGGATCTGCTCCTTCATGCACGTGATCAAAGAAGTCTGCTGGCACACAGCTCCTCCAGCAAAGGGTGGCTGGCTCCACCCCCACCCTCCTTCATCAGTTCCCCATCCCTGGGCCAGGGCACGCCAGCCTTCCAGCCTACAGACTCTTTAGCCAGCTGTCTCACAGGTGAGAGTCTGTGGTGATCTGCCCACAATACAAAGAAGTCACAAATTCTGTTCAGGCTCCAAGGGAAGGAGGAGGGGAAGACTGACCAGTTAGGGCATGGTGTCCAAAACAATGATTTTAGCAGCATAACTTTTTTGGCAAATATGTTCTTACTTGTAAGTCCAATACATAAGAGATAAAAGCAGAGGTTCTGGTTGAGGCCTCCCTGAGGACCGTGAGCTCCTTTCCCATAATACTTACCTGAATCTCAACCCAGGATGTTACTGTTCAGGAGAACAGCCTACACAGACTAAGAGGCCAGGCCTCCCAGATTGGAGGGCCCACAAAGCCACAGCCTCAGTTAGTCAATCTTTAAAACTACATGGAACCAAGGACCATCTCAAGAACCTTTTCCTGTGAGGGGCAGGCCACATACCTCTCAACTAGCCCAAAGCCCTCCCCTGGTACCACGTGCCTGTTCTCTATACACACAACAGGTTGGATGGCCTTGCAGGGACCTGAGCCAATGCATGTGGGGTTAGATGATAGGTCCACTGACCCACTCAGCCTCGATGTCTACACAGCAGGACTTCTGTGCTCTAGTCATCTCCCAGAGCACCAAAAAAGTCCTAAATCCTCTGAACCTGACAGTGTGAAGGCCTGCAGGAAAATATAAGCAACTATGAGTTTGCCTCAGCAATGTGGGAAACAGCATGCTAACCACAGGGCATTTCTCCTCATCACCTTTCTGGAGACAACTCTGTTCCCTTGCTCCAAATCTGTAACATTCTGGGTAATCAATGGAAGGAAGGTAAAGACCACCCCGCCCAGGCAAATCTCTTAACTCACCACTTTGTGGCAGCATAAGGTAATGACAGCGAGAGCGAGGAACTTTTAGAATCAGATGCAACCCACTTTCAGGTTCCCAGCTCTTCTGCCTCTAACGTGGAAAAGTTTCTAAGTTTTCTTCTGAGGGAAAGAGAAGGAAGGGGATGCCTTCCCTGGCCAGCCTGGCCTCTAAGTGTTCTGCCAAAGAAACAGAAGAGTGGGGCTAAAAGCTGTCATCCTCAGCATCTTCAGGTAAGGGGAAGGAGGAAAGGGGCCACTACTCAGGATTCAGGCATCAGGTTGCATGAGCAAGCAGGTAACTAAGTCTCCCCTGGAAAGAAGGAAGTGGGGCTACCTGAGCGCAGTCTAGGGCCGATTGTGCCAATTTAACTGTTCTGGTTTTTTTTTCTTTCCGGACAGGAATGGCTGCCAGACCCAGAGTCCCTGACCCTGGACGCCCCGCTCTGCCGGCCCAACCAGGCCCCCTTCCAGGAAGGTGCAGCCAAGAGTCCTCTCTGACCAGTCCGCAAAGAGGAGGAGAGACGAGGGTAAGGGGGCCAAGGGGAGACCCCCACTGCACCCCACCCTGCCCTTCCTCCTCCCTGCGAAACCGAATGAAAGCCGATCACCTCCCTGCTGGCACTGCCCGCCAGCCCAGCTGAGCTGCCTCCTGTCAGCCCTCGCTGGGAATGGCCAGGCCGCTGCGGTCCCAGCGCCAGCCCCGCGGGTGATTGGGCTCGAGAAAGGCCCCAGGGCCGCAGCCAGGGCCTGGGAAGCGGCTGCGAGTAGAGGCTGGCCTGGGCCGCCTAGGGGCTCAGGAGGCCGCCAGGTCGGGCCGGAGCGTAGGGGGGCGGCTGGGGAAGGGGTGCGGCGGGCGCGGGAATGGCCCCCAGACGCGGCCCCGGGCGCCCCGCCGCTCACCTGCTCCAGGCCGCCCGCGGGGTCAGGCGCAGGGCGTGTGGCGACCGGCTGCTCTCACGGCCGCCCCTTTATTCCAGCTCCATCAGCGGCGGCGCGGCCTACGCGCGCTGCCAGTCCTCGGCCTCGCGTAGCGGCAGCGGCCGGCCCGGGGGCGGGGAACGGGCTAGCGGCGGCCGGAACCGAGGAAGCGACGGGCGCTGCCGGAATAGCGGGGCTGGGGCGGAGGACAGCAGGGAGGGCGGGCGGACAGACCGATGGCCTTGCAGAGACCGGCGGACAGGCGGGCTGCGCGGGGGCCAGGGAGGCGGGGCCGGGGGAGGAGCGGCAGCCGGGGCGGAGGCAGCTGCGGGAGGAGCGGGCGGTGCGGAGCGAGGCCGCCCCCTACCGGGGACCCCGTGGCCGGCCCGAGTGGGACAGGGGCGCGCGGGGCGGCTCTCTTGTCGCCCGGCCGGCACGCCTCAGCTAGCTCAGGGAGCTAGCTTGGCTTCCGACCACCCTGTTTGGCCTTAGGGGAGGGGGCTCCCGGGGCCCGCTCCTGGTCGACCCCTGCACATGAGAGGAGGGGCTTCCCAGACTGATCTGGAACTGACCCTGTGACAGCTCAGCTTGCTGTGAGGGGAGGGGCCTTCGGAGCTCGGACTTGGGGCCAGCTTGAGGAGGGGCCTCCGAGACCTCTAAACCGATCTGGGCCGCTAGAGCAGCGATCCCCGCTGGGTCCACAGTGCTCTGACCGCTGACCCAGCAACCGTGGCTGGGAGGTCTGTCCCGGGTCGCTGCACACAGAGAGGTCAGGGACCGGAGCGGTCTGTGAAATGGGCGCACGGAAGCTGAGGGACTCCGGAGTCTGCAGGTAGCAAGCCCAAGCACCGCCAGCCCGCCAGCAGCATGGTCCCTGGGAGCACAGTTTTTGCAGGGGGCTGGTCCGGCCCCGCCCCTCCGGGCCCATCCCCGGGGCGGTGCTAACCCTGGCCCCGCCCCCGAACGGCACTTCCGGCGCGGCGGAATTCCGGGTGTGGGAGCGGTGACTGGTAGATGAAAAGTGTGGTCCTGGCGGAGGCCCCATGAGCGCGGCGCCCCTGGTGGGCTACAGCAGCAGCGGCTCTGAAGATGAGGCCGAGGCCGAGGCCGGGATCCGGGCCCGGTCGGAGACAGGAGGCCGCCGCTGGTGAGGAGCGAAGAAGTCTTTCTGGGGAGCGTGCGGGTTCTCGAGAGCATCTGGTGATGGAGGGAGGGTGACGGAGCAGCTGGCGAGGGAAAGAAAGAGCGCACAGCGGGAAAGGAGAATCCAGAGGACCATCCTGGGCAAAGCCCCAGATTGCCCGCACCTGGCCAGGCCAGGGTTAAAAGAGATGAAACGTGGGTTAGGGCCCACTCTCTCCCGGCAAGCAGCAACTGTACCACCCTAGGTTTGTTTCCTCATTTGGAGAGTTTTCATTCATCCAATGAATATTCATTGAGCACATTCTCTGTACAAGGCTTGGGACTGGGAACTCAGCAGTGAATAAAACCGTGGAAGTCTCTTACCTTGCGGAGGTTGGGTTCTTAAGTTCAGGCCTGGTGTTTGATAAGTGCTTTTCAAGCAGTATCTCAGTTGATCTCACAATAGCTCTTAAGGTAGAAGCACACTTTACCGATGAGGAAACTGAGGTCCCCAAAGGACATATGACTTCCCCAAGACCACAAAGCTAGGAAGTGCTACTCTAACTCAGGCTTGCCCATTGAGGGAGTATGACCTTTGAACCACATATTGCCACCTGCCCATTTGCTTACCATTGGGACCACACTGCTAAGGTCTGCCTCCCAGAGTTGTTGAGAGGCCCCAATGAGATGATGCGGGAAAAAGCTCTGAGGTTATCTAGAAGCTGCTTACAGCACCTGGTGGGAAATAGACATGCAGAGGCACCCTGTATAAGGATTACAACTTTAGTCGTATGTACAGAGGTGAAGAATGCTAGGAGAATACATGTGCTTATTTTCTTTTTCTTCTTTCACAGTGACCAGAGTCCCCTTCTCAGCCAGAGGTTGCCAGTACCCGACAGTGTGCTGCACATGTTCCCGGGCACCAAGGAAGGGCCTGAGGATGACAGTGCAAAATATGGGGGCCGGGTGCGCACCTTCCCCCATGAGCGGGGCAACTGGGCCACCCATGTCTACATACCTTGTGAGTAATGTGTGGAAGGCAAGTGGCTGAGACTGATAGGTACCTCCTGATAGAGGGAAGCTGGCCCCCACCAAGAGGAAGAAGCTGGAAACCTCTGACATTGGTGGGGAGAAAAAGATGGACTTAGTAGAGAAAGAACAAGTTTCAAAAATTGGGGAATTTTTCTGTAAACTTGGCTTCAATTTTGAATTCATTGTCTAAATATTTTTTAACTCTGGTATAATGTTCTCCCTGCCCACGAGGAGGTGTCAAGGGAGGGTCTAGGGTAGAGTGTCAAGGCAATCCCAGAGTGCAGCTGCCAGCTGGCACCTAATTTCTAAGGCCCTAGGTGTGCTGGGGTCAAGCCCAACCCAGTGCTTATGAGTGGATGGGAAGCAGAAAATGCCCAGGCTTTAGAGTCAGATCTTGCTTTATCACACACTACTCTGGGTGCACTTTAGTAAGTTACTGGACTTCTCAGAGCCTCAGTTTCCTTGTCTCTCAAATGGGAATAATGGTCATATCTATCTCCTAGGACTTTTGTGAAGACTGAATCAGGTACTCTGTCAAGTTTTTTGCACAATACATGGAATAAGTAAGTGGCTGTTATTTTGTGTTAGATCAAGCAAACCCTTGGACCCTCCATTTCCCCATCCACAAAATGGGGATGATTCTCTACGCTGCCTGCTCACTAGGGCATTCCGGCAAATTGAGTAACACACTGGGTGTGAGCAGATTGTTAGCTATGCCGCTCTAGTAACATGTTCAGTAAAAAATTTTTCTGATGGTCATTGTATTGTTCTTTGTCTTTGTAAAAAAATTAGGAGTGTTCGAAGTCTCCAACTGGAGACTAATAGGTAACTGATTAAAGACATGCTCTGTTTCTGATCATAGAGCTATAATCATGAACTTGACCTCTATACTAATAGGAAAGACACCTGACATGTAGTGTTATATGAAGAAAGCCAGGAGAAGAACAATTTGAATGGTATGCTTTCATCTTTTTTAACAAATAAAATATATGCATTAGTATATGCACTGAGAAAAGGCAGGAAAAATGGGCATCCAAGGTTGACAGTCTTTATCTCTAGGATAGTGGTCCGGAAAGTGGGGTGTGTACACCCTGGGGAGAGGTGAAGATGATCCATTAGGAAGAAAAACATTAGCACTTTACGTATTTCTTTGATCTTATCTTTTAAAATTTCTCTTCTTGAGAATGTACATTTGATAACATACACACTTTTATAAAATAGCACACATTTGAATTTATAAATACATGTTTATTGCAGGTATGTGTGCTAGTTTGTTTTACTAATGGCCTGTGCGATCATAATGGTTTGGAAACCACTGCTCTAGGCGATATGATTTTAGGGACCCTCTTTTCTCCTTTGCTTATTTCTTTTTCTATCTGAATTCTTTGCAATGAGCATTATTTCTAATAAATGAATTATTTCTAAATAAAATGAATATTATTTCTATAACCATAAATTCATATTATATATTAGAATACTTGGACGTAGGCTGCTCTCAAAGTAATTTTCTCCTAAAACCCAGAGTAACAAAAGGCTTTCTCTGCCTTCTGGCCTTGCTCATCAGCCATGCCACCCTGGCTGAGATAATGGTGCACCCTCTCCACTCTTCCCTCCAGATGAAGCCAGAGAGGACTTCCTGGACCTGCTGGACATGCTGCTGCTCCACGCCCAGACGTACACCCCCCGGCTGGTAAGGATGGAGGCATTCCACCTCAGCCTGTCCCAGAGCGTGGTTCTGCGTCATCACTGGATCCTCCCCTTCGTGCAGGCTCTGAAAGACCGCGTGGCCTCCATCCAGAGGTAAGTGCCAAAGGTTTCCCTCTGCCTCTCCTCTCCCTACCTCCAGGGCTTCTCTCTTATCCTGAACTATTGTGCGAGTGGAGGTGTGAGTGTATTACCCCAGCAGGCAGGCCAAACCTAGGACACTAGTCATCTCCTGATGCTGCCTGCTATACACCTTATCTTGTGTGACCTTGGGCATAGCATGTGAGCTCTGGAAGCCTCCGAGTGCTCACCTGTGTGCAGGTCATGGGAAGAGGGGTGGTGGCTGCCTCAGAGGAGACTTGTGAGAGGGAAATGGGATTGTGTGTGTCCTCAGTGTGGCAATGAGCCAAGGATCAGACCCCACTTCTGGTTTTGTGTGTCAGCCAAGGCCTTTTTTTTCCTTAACTACTTCATACCTCTTTTTCCTACCAGAAATGCCTTTCCTCCTAGACTTAGCCAGACCAAAACCCTGTTACCTCCCTGAGGCTCTCCCAGCTGGTGTCTCCTCCAGAATTTCTCAGCCCTCATTTCACTCATCCTCATATCCAGTCATTCCCATGTCCACCTCCTACTTTGGAGCCCCAGTTCCTGCAGGCCCAGGAATGAAGCTTCTCTCTGAAATACCCACATCTTTTTTCCAGATGCTTTGTTTACTGTACATATCACATGGATGTTTGTTGAGTGAGTGAGCAGGAGAGGGGGGCCCAGAAATCATCCTCTGGATCCTCTGAATATTGATTCTAGAAGGAGCCTAAGAAGCCATCCAGGTGGTGGTTTTCTCACCTGGGTTTTATCTGCAGAGCCCTTTCTTCAAATGAGGGGTCATACAAAAGTCCAGATGTGTGGATGTGTAAGAGTTACAAAAATGGAAGACTTCTAGCCAAAGCCCCACTCCCACAATTCAGGAGGCCCTAAGCCCAGGAATTCCATAGAACTACTCTGCTCAGCTGGCGAACTGCCCACTTAGTCTAATCCATTTAATCTGAAAGGATTTGCTCCAATTCAGGTAGCCTGATTCAGAGAATCTGGACTGAAACTTATCTCTTTACCTCACCCAGCCCCGCCTCCTTTTTTTATTGTCACTACCAAATTTGTTGAGGCATATGTGTGTTAGTCCGTTAAGCCATGGACTCTCTTGAGTGCAGGTACCAGAAATCCAAACCAAAGTGGCTTAAACTGAGGAAGAATTTATAGGCTGGTATAATTGTAGTTCAGAAGTGGCACTGTCTTCATGCACAAGTGGATTGCGGTGACCAGATGCCAGACTCTCCGCATCTCATGGCTCTACCCCTCTCTTTTGACTTCAGTCTCACAAAGACAAAGGGGGCCACCAGTAGCTCCTATCT